CCCTAGAGTCAGACACGACTGGACTAAATGTAAAGGGGAACCTTTACTTTTACCTATTTCCAACATCCCTCATATTGGGCTACGACAGCTAAGATGAAGAGAGTTCTAGTCTAATAGCATCACAAAGTATATATTCCCCACCCCTCTGGAAGGAGAGACAATTTTCCATGGTTTTCCTCTGTACAAACAATGCAGATTCCGAGGGAGGGAGGGAGGGAGGGAGGGAAGGAAGGAAGGAAGGAAGGAAGGAAACCTACTCTCACTAAAATTCTTTCGGCTGTTATTTCTCTATGTATTCATTTTTTAGTACTGGGACAAAGTACCCAGGGAGAGGAACGCAGTTTCTTTTCCAGTGGAAGATGTCGTATTCTGTCCAGAAAAATATCACTTGTATTATTTCTCTAAAATGTACAATCATATGTCCTTCTAATCAACAGCTACTCTTCTATGCAATGAAGGGTAAGATCACATTGCATTAAGCCACTGCTTCTGTACCCAGTGTAAGCCACTGCTTCTGTACCAGAATTCTGGAGAATTCAGGCTTATGGTGAGTAAGCTACATGCTGCTCCACACAGTCCATATAGTTCTACTTCTCCTCCCAGTGGGATTGGTTAAACTACCCAGAAATAAGAAGCATGATATGTCATCCATTCAGAGTTCCAGACTATTGTTCTTACTGGGTTTTTCCCCCCCCTTGGTTCTTGGCATATGAATTATATCTTGGAAATGGAGCAACAAACCAGTACAACATGCCCTCCTTGTTACAATATGCTAAACTTCTAATTTCTGCTTGTTTCAGCCACTCCAGTGGAAGGTAGAGAGAAGCATAAGCAAACAGACTGCATGCACTAATACACAGAACATTCACATTAAGTCATAATTGTAGCTTATCCCTGTATAGAAGCAGAGTGAATGGTAGGCTGGCAACTTACAGAAGTTCAGTGTGGTACAGAATGACACAGCCCAAGACTGATTTAATATCTTGATTAAGAATTTTACCTTGGATCCCCCACACAAAGGGTCTATCATTATTCCTCAAGTGCTAAATCTACTCTGCCTTTTCCAGAAATAAAACAGAAGGTGAAACCTTTCCAAAAACATACTATATAATTGACAAGCCCAAGTAGGTATAGCAGATATAGAATGGCAAGGTCCAAGGAGGAAGGAATAAGAATGGGTTATTCATTTCCCATTTTGCAACGAACTGCCAATGCAAAAGAACAAGAATACTTTTTACAAAAAAAACCAGAGAATAAGCAAAACAAAACAGCAGTGGAAGGAGATATACAACACTGGAAGGAGAGATACAAAAGACAACAGACACTTATAACAGAAGATAATTTTAAAAGGTTAAGAATTACATCTGTAAAGTAAACAGTTACATCTGTAAAAAGCAGCCCGCTCTTTCAAGGTTCATCCTATGAGCCTACACAGTACAACCAGAACAGACTACTGTTAACAGAATAAATCCAAAGGGCTTATATAATTGTTGACCTGCAATTCAGAAAATGGTTCACTGGCTGAAACCCTGTATGTTATGGCAATACGCCCCTGGATGTCAGTTTATAAATAAAACCTGAGAGAACAACATTGTTCCTGTATGCATCTGGTTCTCAGCAGCACAGAGACAGTTTGCTTGCAATTGTTATATCAGCCACTTAACATATATGCATATCCAGGAAATGACTGAATTACTAAATAGGGGCACCTAACTTAGATCAAAGCGGGAACCCCAATACAAATCAGCAATACAAATCATCTTTTTCTTGGGGACTGAAAATCGATGATTTGGGCCACAAGTCTTCCAACGTTTTCAAACCAAACCATCTCAGTCTACAAGACCACCCTTTAAATATATACTGTTATTTATAATGACTGCCCAGAGTGGCCTTGGCTGCAAGATGGATGGTATATAAAAGGAAGGAAGGAAGGAAGGCAGGAAGGAAATTAATTAATCAATCAATCAATCAATCAATCAATCAATCAATCAATCAATCAATTAATTAATTAATTAAGGTCCATGACTTTTTAAATTAAGCAATATTTTATAGGTATTAAAAGCCATATGGACAGAGAAAGAGCTGGAAGCTCACATGGAATAGGCTGGAAAATACTGTCTGTTGGATGAATAGGGGCCAAGAAAATTAATTACTGTACGCTGGAATCTCCTGCTTGGAGACTGATAGATACACAAACATCCTTCTTACATATCCACGCACGTTTGCACATATACATACAACGCACCCAAAGAAGGAAGCATACTTCATCATGGATCCCCAACCTCTCCTTCTGCTGTATCCCATTCCATCCCCATTTCTTTTTCTTTTCTGGGCTTTATCTTGCAGATGCTTTAAAAGAACCATCCTTAAGCCAAATCCAAAATGGTCAACTCTCCAACTCTTCCAAGTTTCATACAGGCCAAATGAAGAAAAGAGTGAATGTCATTTTCTGGTGTTGGTCTGCGCTCAGCTGCTTGAATCAGGTGCACACATGTTTGGGACTGGTTCCTGCCCCCCCCCCCGCAAGTTCTGTGACATCGCTATTAGGAAGGTCAGTAGAGAAGCTGGCATGCCCATCTGGAAACCTTCATCAAGCAGACAGGAATCAGCAATACTTTCAAATTCACTCTCATTCTGCAAATCCAATTTCGCAGAATTGCATTTCTAGAGCAGCAGTTCTTCACCAGCTTCTCAAAAGTTGTTCTAATATAATCACCACCAGTAAACAAACCACAACAGCCATCTCCTGCATACTTCTTTTTCCTGCCAGTAGAAGTTGATATAAAATTATCATGGACATGGGATTATCTCGAACACGCAATTCATGCAGGACCAACTTTTTACATTTCAAATTGGAAGGCACAGACAATCCTATTCATTTGTGGCAACGATGGCAAAGAACATACTGTTTGAATTTTCATTTATAGTCAGAGAAGCACTCTGTAAAACAGTTGAGCTTCTTGTAAAGTCAGCAAAACAAACTGCTTCCAGATTATCTCACGCTAGAAACTAGTCAGTTTTAACCACAACACGCTCTGTAACTAGACACACAAATTGCAATTTCACTAGTAGTTATTCTTCACCACTTTCTGGTGCGGAGCAGCGTGCTTCAAAACCACTTCTTTAATAAAACAACATCCACAGATGATGCCATAAATAAAAACTAGTACACTACATTCTTCCTCAGTCTTTCCATGTTTCAGGATGTCTCGCCGATACATTTTCAAGTGCTGTAAGACTGACTACTAAGCACAGATTTAGGAATCTTGGCCTGTTAGGCCTCTATACAAGTGGTACCCAATCTTGGGTTCCAAGATGTCCTCGGACTATAATTCCCAGAAACCCTGGCCAGCACTAATGGTGATGTTTTCTAGGAGTTTTAGTGCAAGAATATCTGCAGACTCAAGGTTGTGAACCACTGTTATAGACACTTACTGTATATAAAAAGATACACAAATAAATTCATCCTCATAGAAAAATAAATGTTTACAGCTATTAAAATACTGCAGAATTACATACTGTATTTGCAAATTATTTTTCATGAATCCCTATGACACTTTTTCAAGGTATGCATAGCCAACACAACCAGTGGAAAAGGCTTCTGGGAGTTGCAGTCCAAGAACATCTGGGGATCCAAGAAACTACTGCTTTGTAGGATACATTCACTACATGTTCCAGAATAGTTTTCAAACTTTCCATAAAGTACCTGGTTAGCCTATATGAAACACATGGGGAGTGTTTCGTATAAATGAACTAAGACAGAATTCCAGGTGCCATTTTCTGTGCTTCATATCTTGTCAAAGCATGTAGGAACAAGACCTTGTAAATGTTACTTTTTGGGGGGGGGGCAGCATCATCCATAATTCCTTAGCCAGCATAGCACTTCCAAGCATTTCAC